CAGTAGCAGAGACCTGTGACCCCAACTGTTTCTGGATGATAAACATTTGTATCAGGTTAACAAATCATGGGCAGAGTAACAATATTTTTATACTACATTTATCCATTTTAAATATACTAACCTCACTCCTTTGTAACAACTAAGGCAAAAATGTAATTAATTCAGAAAATCTTTTCAGGACCCCACCTTGATGTTTCGGGACCAACTTTGGGAAACACTGCTCTATAAGATCCAGTTTGTAGTTTTTGTGCAGCAACTATTTGTTTGAGGCCTAATTTTCAGTCTGTCTCATTAACTTAACAGTCAGGGAGTGAGTGATGCAGGTGTGTGGTAACGGTATTTCAGGTTAAACAATCTTCAGACATGTTTCTTTTTTCTTATTTAATTTTAAAATTGTCTGGCTTTTGTTMAAATTCATCTCCTCAGCCTTGCAGGAGAAATGTCAGACCATCATCCAGCTCGCCGCTTCAGGAAATCGGCAGCCAGGATGCTGATCTGTTGCTGCCTCTGACCTTTGACCTTCCCCTGATGGAGCCCCCTAAAGGGATTAATGCAAGTCTGATGGATGTTAACACTGGATCTATGACGAGAAAAAAAAAAAGAGTTCAAAATAAATAAATTTTAAAAAAACACTCATTTTTACTTTGAAAGGGAGGCACAGTCTCATAACAGAACTATAAAACCTGACAGATCTGTCACAACATCTCAACATGTTGAAACTGGCTCAGCTACAGCCCACAGAGAGGAAGACTGAGGGAAAAGAAGCATGAGCACAACAGGCAGATAAGAAAAAACGAGGAAAGGAGGCAGGAAATTAAGGTGTTTGGGGATGAGGGGGGTGTCCAAATATTTAATCAATTAACCCATTTTAACCGGTTTAACTGAAGAGTCACAGCAAGTCGATATCAACACAGCTCTTAAATAACATAAAAAACAAAAACAAACAAATGAAACGTGCCCAGTGAGCTGAAATGGTCGCTCGGCGTGTGAAAAATCAGACACGCTTGCTGCAGCTGGTGCTGCTGGTGCGTAACGGACCGACAGGTAGAAACACGCCGCTCCGTTTCTTCTTTTTTTTTTCCTCCCGTTTTCGACCATTTCCGCTCACAAAACAAAACGATTTGTTTCAAAGCAGGTACTGAAATAAAGTGTGGAAACTCACCTTTATGGCTTGAATGTTAAGTCCTGAGCGCAGATTGTCTTGGAAAAATGCGAGTGGAGGCTTCAGTGTTGCCGCCTGTCACCGGGAAGGTGGAGTTTGTGGTTTTTACTCCAACAGAGGAACAACACCGAGGACGCGTCTGTGTTGAAGACAGGGAGACACCTGCTGGTCAAACGCGGTCCTACAACAATAATTTATTTCCCTTACCTACCCCCCTTTTTTGGCTTTTTTTGTGTGTGTCTGTTATCAAATTACCACATGAACTACAGAAAGGATTTTAATGAAACTTACACAAAATAATATTTAGATGCATATCTACAAGTGATTATTGCTTGAAGTCAAATCTGTTAAAGATGGCCGCCACAGCCAGCTTAACCGAATAAACACACAAGTGACTGTAGCTCAGTCAATTTTATAAATATTGCGCTAAATTTTTGCGTAGTAGTAGCTGAAACTAATCCCCTACATATATTCAGAGTGCTTCCCATTATGCAAAATTTCACCTTAAAAACTTCAGTGTTGAATTTTACAGCCAATCCTGTTKGTCTGTTAGCAAAATATCTTATAAACCAGGGAACAGATTCAAATGAAATCTTTAGTAAATAATGACTGGATGGACCTCCACAACCGATTAACCTTTGGAACCAATACTATTCAAGATGGCCACCACAGCCAACTTAATTTCAAAAACACAAAAAATAGCTATAATTCAGTTCATGAATTGGTGTGATGGGATTAAATTGATTTATATAGCACATTTAAAATGAAATAAAAAGTAAACTCAAGTGATTCAAGATTTTTCAAGCAAGGCAATAAATTACATTTGAAATTTGTACAATATCACAAGTACAAATAAGTGAAAAAGGGGAAAAATGTAAATTCAAGTAAATACATTTGGTATATTTAAGAAAAATTGAGTTCAATGTAATTTCAAGATAAATATTTAATAACTGGTTTTCCCAAAACCTCATATCTAAAACGGAAATGACTAAATTTAGGATGTAACAACAGAAAATAAGGTATCATATTTGGGTACAATATAAGCATAGAATATATACATTTTGTTTATAAGGTAAACTATTTCATTTTTGCTACCGATAGAAATTAATAACTGGTTTTCCCAAAACCTCATATCTAAAACGGAAATGACTAAATTTAGGATGTAACAACATAATATAAGGTATCATATTTGGGTACAATATAAGCATAGAATATATACATTTTGTTTATAAGGTAAACTATTTCATTTTTGCTACCGATAGAAAATATTTAGTGCTTTTTAAAAATTACAGAATATTTCCTCATTGTAGGGATGAAAGTCTAGAAAATACAGAAAATAGAAGTTGCTTCCTTTTCTCATCCTATCTGTCAAATGTGAATATGAAGGTTTACATCTCATTTAATTGTTTCAGGAAGCTTTGTACACCAAAGAACAGGTCCAAGAGAAGTACAAAGCAACAATAACACTTTTCTGGGGTTTTTTCTGTCATTTTCCTTGATTTTTAATGTCTTAGAACCTCGTGTTCCAAATATATCCTCATATCTTCTTAAACAACCCATTCATGAATTTATTGTCTCTTCTGTGACACACTCATGTGATTACATTACTCTTCCTGTTAATGTGCCTTGTTTTATGAATCATTCATTTGTTTTATAGCTCCACAAACCTGAGAACAGGACTTTGAATTGAAAACAGGCAAACAGAGAATACTCAAAGYGCAAAAATCATCAACTATATTTTGTTTCGTGCTCTGAAGTTGAGCTGAGAAATGTTTAAATCCACTGTTAAAGTTTAGGTTTTAAATAAAAACTCCCCCCATTCAGTCAGTGTAATCTGTCATAATCCCACGCCTGCCATGATGAAGTTATCATGTTTAGGTGAAACTGGTGTCTCTGCTATGACGACCAGCTGTCTTTCCTCCTTCCAAACCAAAGGTCACATCATAAACATGAGGTTTTATGACCAGCAGTCCATGTTTCACTCCACCCAGGAGACAGATACACAGAGGGTCAGAAACCCGCTCCTGAGACTTCGTTCCTGTTTCACAAAAGGAGACGTTGGGGATTTCGATTTAACGCCAACTACTAGGATCCAGCCACGATGCCGTCCTTGGTGAAGACTTTACATTTTCTCCTGAGTGCGCTGATTACTGCCGTCTCTGTAGGCTTGCTGGGCTTCGCCATGTCAACAATGTGGTCTCAAACGTCCATGGAATGTGCAGAGTTGGGCAGCAGCCTATACAACGGAACTGCAAACATTAAAATGTCCCTTTTTAAAGGAGAATTAATTAGAGTCTCCTGTCCCACCTTTGGAGGTCGAGAGCTATTTGAAGGTAATGTTCCACGGGCCAGCGGGCCAAACTGAAACCTACTTTTCTTTCACTCTCATTCTAAAATGAGCTAATTATCTGTAAAACTGATAAAGTTGGAGTYATTTCTGAGTTGCTACGGTTGATTAGCTGTGGCGGCCATTCTGACTTGGGTGTGGTAGCCATTTCTGACTGGGTTGACTCCAAAGGTTCATCTGCTGTACATCCAATTATTACCTTTTAGGACTTTTTGCTAAAATTTGACCAGCTGTTTATAAGATATTTTGTTAACAAGAGGAATGTGTTGACACCAAAGTATTAAACCCAAATATTGCACTTTAAAGATGTGTTGCTAATATCGCACCGATTTTCAGTCTAATATCTGTAAAATGGGCTAAGTTTTTATTAATTTTTTAGTTAGCAGCAAAGTTTTAAGGTAGCTCTGGTGCCACCAGTTAGCTAGTGGTCAGAGTTGACACTGGGGAGGACTCTCACCAGGGCCGCCACGTGGCATAGGCAGTATAGGCAAACACTAAGGGCGGCGAACATCTAGGGGGAGCCACAAATGGGTTAATCACTTTTTATCAGTTTTGTTAATTTATTCTGTAGATTAATCACTGGTTACTCTGGTTTATGAAGGTAACTTGTTCTGTGGGTTTCTTAGCTGCTTTGTTCCTACATGATGTGTTGTACGGTGCTGAGTATATTTCAAGATAAAAATATCAAATGATTCAATCAAGACTAACTACTGGAGCTCAGTGTGTAAAAGGAAAACAAAATAATGATGACATAAGTTTCTGTTCTGATCTCAGATAAAGTTCAAGTCAAAGTCTGGTTTTCAGTGTTTTATCTTCATAAAATATTGGGCCTCATGCAAGAACATGTTCATATTCTTATCCTAAATTTCCCTTACTTTTGTTCGTACGAAGGGTTCGTACAAACATGTCACATCAGATTTAATAAACTCTTCTGTCTTCAGGAAAAGTGTGTAAATGAGGAGCGTAAACTGATGAATGCGTATCAGGTGCTCGTGCAGGGAGAGGTGATTAGCATAATTACCACCCCAAAAATGCCATATAAGGTTACGTTTCCTGCCCCACATACCAGGAAGTGTCCATTCATTTATGACATCGCAAAGTAAAAAAGAAGATTTTTACGAGTTCGGAGATTGAAGTCCTGCTCTCGGAGATCCAGGAAAAAAAATGTCATTTTTAGCARCGTCAGACCTGCTAAAGCCAAGGAATGAAATGACGACTGCTGTTAATGTCGTGTCTCCTRTGGGTCGCATACAGACACAGAAATAAAAATCTAAATCATATACATTTCTCTCTAGCCTGGCCCTTGCCTTCCTAYGCAGCTCCGATAAATTCTAGTTTCCCTTCACTGCTCCGTCTGGGACTTCTCCCATTGAAATGGATTTCCGCTGGCAGATTTTTAGCCGGGCCAATCAGAGAAGAGAACGTCAATTTTCTGCGCAGTGTYTCTTGTAAACTGTGTCCAAAACGGCAGGCCGGGTCTTCCGAAGTCCGAATTTGTCGGCCGCATACGTCACAGCGCCGCGACGAAGGACGTCCAAAACCGAAGACTCCTCTGATGCGGCCGACAAATACGTCCTTCCTTTTCCCCGAATCGAAGGACAGGTCTGATGGATCCTTCCCGGCCCAGCATATCCCACAATGCATTGCGGCCCGACCGGAGATTTTTTTATGCTAGTAATGGCAGACGAAATGAGAGAAAAGAATACATTTTAAATAAAAATATGGTGATGTAAAAATTAAAAAATTTTAACGGTTGTAATTCTAATAYTTTTATCATTTGTATAGACATGTTTTTAAATATTTTTTCGTCATAAAAAAACGTGAAATAAACATGAACCTACAGCGGGTCAATTAGTTCTTCAAATGATAACTTTAAGTTAATTTTATAGTTTTGTGATATTAATAGTGCTAATGTATTGATATATTTCTAATTTGATTTAAATTTGCTTGTTTAGCATCGTCACAGTTGCTAGGTGACATGACGTACGCCGGGGTAAGGAGGGGAGGCTAGACCGTCCAAATTCACAGCCTCTTTTTTTCCAGTCTTCCCGGTCTACCAAGGACCCGGCCCGCCGCGACCGGGTAGTCTGGGTCCTCCGGAGGACCCGGCCTGTTGTTTTGGACACAGCCGTAGTTYATTTTACCTGGGCCAAACAGCAAACAGATGGCAGAGTTTTGAATGATGTCGATGTTCTGCGCAGTGTCTGCTAGTTATTTTAGCATACGGCAGTGGAGGAAGTGAATGAAGCCAGTCTGTGTTGATAAGGCTTACAAATTAAATTAAATTTGTCTGACAAAGCAGCAGCTCTCATTTACAGTTGTCTCGTTCGGCTCGGTATATTTCTCCTCTCATTAGGGTTGTTTACAGAACACGCGACTTCCGGTTAGCTTCTTAGCTTAGCCTCCGTCGCAGCGACAACACACACACGCTTCAGCAGAGGCCACGCCTCCTGCAAGAAACGATTCTCTATGCATCGAGTCCAGACCCTAGTACGAAGCAAAGTGAAGGACAAGGGTCTGGTTTTAACCAGGCTAATTTTTCTCTAGTCCTACTCTAGTTTTCCTTTGGTCAATTATTTTAATTTAAGTGTAAACAACTGTGTTACATAGTTTTCATTTATTCAGAAGAGGAGCAGTCGCGCACTGCTACCCACCTCCCTCTCCCGACCATCACAATTGTCAGATGCGTTTCTGAAAACAAGCATTTTAAAATGTCTCCAAACTTCAATTAATGCATAATTTCAGTTGTTTTTTAGTTTAACATCTTCATATTAATATTGTAGTGTTATACAACATCATTAATAGCCTATTTAATTTAATCTAACCAATTTATGTTGTTATTTACATTTAAAATCTAATTCCAATTCAAGCAGAATAGCCTATTGTCAACATAATTATGGAGTGTGATTTATTTTCAACTCAAAATATCTTCAAACTAATGAAGTTATTAATGAAGAAAATCCGTCTGGAAATCAGCAAACTGCTGCTTGTAAAATAAACGACAGGTCTGGACGACACGTGAATTTTGTTCTAATTTGAAAAAAAAATCTTAGAATACAAGAAAATTGGTGAATGCCACAAATTCTCCTAAATCACTCGTRCGCACAACTTAAGAACAAATCTGTTCGTACGGACGGTTCTTGCATGAGGCCCATTGATTTTATGTTGTTTTATTAATACCAAGAATTTAGTAAAATGTTCTGCAAATGGCTGGAAAWTTCAGAAATTTAAGTAGATCTTTTAGAAGATATTCCAGGGGAACATACCCCTGGACCCCTTTAGAACTGCTTCACTCCACAGCTGCTGCTTAACATGACCAGGTGTTCCTCATTGCTGCCAGCAGATGTTGGCAGGTATGAGGCAGATTTCTATTCTGATTCAAATGCTAACCGTTTCAATTAAACAATTTGGTTTCTGAAGATAAAAACATATCAAAGACAAAAAATATTTGATGTGAATAGATGTAAATTGGCAGTCAGATTTCGAAAATTACACAAGGGGCACCACGTGAAATTTTGCCCGGGGCACCAATTTGGCTAGGGTTGGCCCTGCACCCAGCTTCTGCCACACCAAATTTTAACTCAGTATCAGATAAAGTGGCAGAGMCATTTTTGGTTTTGCTAAGGTTGCTTTGCTGTGGAAGCCATTTTGAATGGTGTTAATCCAATGAGTGTTTTTTAAGAGTTTTATTAAAATTCACCAAACGTGATGCAAACATATCTCAAAGATGAACCTAGATGAGCATGCTTTTGTTGTTTCATTGTTTTGGATGTGACTGGATAAATCATACAATATCTGTAAACAGTCTTTTGCGTGTGTGTGTGTGTGTGTGTGTGTGTGTGTGTGTGTGTGTGTGTGTGTGTGTGTGTGTGTGTGTGTGTAGTGTTTCCAAAGTTGAAACAAACAGGAACTGTTCCTCTGGCTCTACACGGGCTGTCTGTGGGCCTGCTGGTTGCATGTTTGCTGTTTTCTGCCCTCAGCATCCTCATCTCCCTCTACAACAGCGTCAGTAATCCTTACCAGACCTACATGGGGCCTGTTGGCGTTTACACCTGCAGCTCTCTCAGCGGTAAGCGCCGCTCGTTTCTGGAACATCTCTTCCACCTGCTTTCCGTTTTAGCGGGACTATAATTGTGCTCCTTCTTCTGCAGCGTTCTCATCTTTTCTGGTCCTGATTTTATACGTGCTGAACCTCAACGTGACCAACATGCAGGAGGATTTGGTTAAAACCAGCTCCGCCGTGGATCTGAAGGACAAGCGTGCGGTTATGCAGGTTGGATACTTCCTGCTCATCCCGTACACGGTGCTCTCTGTGATTGCCATTTTCTTGATCTACGTGTACGACCATGCCGCCTACACCCAGAGGCGGGAGCAGGAGAGRCCGACGGAGGACGCCCCCAAGGAGATCATGATGTATTAGAGACAATCCCAGAGACTCTGACGAAAATTCCCTAATGACTGTCTTACAAAACTCTTTGTGACGTCAGTTTTATTTATGTGGCACTTTACAAAGAAGCAAACGTGACAAAGTGCTGTACAGAAAGAAGTATAATAAAACTAATGGTAATAAAAGCAATGTCTCATAAAACAGTAAAAGACAGAGGTCAGGAAAAAATAAGATGCCAACAAGGAAGTAAAAATCTTAGGTAAAACAATATGAACAAACCAACCAAAGGTTAAAGGGACAGTCTGATGATTTTTGAAGTGATGTTCGACCTTATTGTTGTGGTGGTTGTAATGAAATAGGAGACGATGATTAAAACTCAGAAACTTTATTACATCTACTGTGTAGAAGCTGTTTCCGAACACAGCCTCATTTTTACTCCTGTTACTACAGTCTCCTCTGCTCTGTGCTGTGGCAGCAGCGCCCTCTAGTGACAAGACATAGCAAAAGAACAAATGATTTCGCCATGTAAACCACACCTGCCAAACTCAAGGCCCGCAGGCCAAATCTGGCCCTTGTTAATGTTTCATCTGGCCCCAAAGGTAATACAGTAATTTCAATGTGATTTTTTTTTATTCTGTATTTTTAGTGCATTCTTCCCGTGACAGCTGGTCAACTTTCAAGCCAAGAAAATTAAGTTTTATTTTTTTTTTCAACAATCTGTGATCTTGGTATGGAAACTGTAACAGAGAATATATTTTATTATTATCTTTGTCAGTATTCTCTTCCTGGTTTAGTGTCAAAAATTTAGATTTTTAGTAAGGGGTTTCATTTTTTTATCCGATTATCTGGATTGTGATGAAAGGTACCTCTAAGTTATAATAAGTATAACAGTTGTTGATAGAGATTAAGGCATAAAAAAATGAATCTTACGTCTTTCTTAATTAATTTTTTGCCTATCAGACTAATTTGTTATACAACATTTTTTCAGTAATTATTGACAGAAACTGACCCTTGGCTTGGACCAAGTTTTGTATTTTGGGCCCCTTGTGTAACTGAGTTTGACACCACTGATGTAAACCAAACACCACAACACTTTTCAGCAGTGATATTTGGTAGATCACTTCAAAACTCACCAGACTGTCTCTTTAAGCCAAACGGCAGGTCTTTATTGGGCCTTTGACATCTTCTAAACTCAGTTCTTTGGCATCTAATTGATCATTCTTAGAGCTCCAGATGATATAGGATGACGACAAAGATCCTGAAGAGCAAACAGCATCAGAACACTAACCTTAAAAACAAACAAAATCTTAAAGAGATGCTTTGGATCTTTTTGAGTGAGATGTTGATTCACCTCTTACCTGTGACTGTTTTATGCTCTTGTTTTCCTTTTAAAATACACTTGACTGTAAGCAACAAAAATATAATTTATACCAGCAAACAAGCAATTACATTTATATATTTTATTGTAATAAAGGCACAAATAATGCTTTCAAAATCTAACATTTTATGGATTATATATAGCTCCTGTACAGCTTGTTTTGTTTACAAAATGCAAAAATGAGTTTGTTGCTTCCCATATTAACAGATGTGTTTCAATGTTGTCATATTGTAAACAATTATTGAATAAAATGAAAGTTTTAACTTCATTTAGGAATGGGTTTTAAAGCTTTAATCCGTACATTTATAACTTTATTCAAACCTGCTGTTGTATTTATTCTGTGCATCATGAAGTTGATTTTTTCCTGGTTCAACACGATGAATTAAAGTCTTTTTAAAATCGAAACTAAAAGTCATAATATCCCCGTCAGGTATGATATAATCCAGAAGTTTAAACTGGTGAAAAGCTTCTGAAAATATGTTTCACATTAGAAAAAAAATAAAACAAAATAAAACAATTTGCACAAACTTCGCTTTAAATATTAGTTTACAAATAATATCTGTATTTTTTGCGATTTTATGTCACAGATTTATTGCAAACGTCATGCATATATTTTTTTTATTTTTGAAAAAAAAGGAACTTAAAAGGGAATGTTGAATTCATCAATGTCTGCTGCCCTCTATCTTTCACAGGATGTAAATGCAAGATGTGAATTCCTTAATTAGTTGGACACATTTGCAGCTTGTTGAGCTTAGATGAATGATTATTAATCAATAATCAAAGGAAAATGTGACCCTCCCTCCACACTTTGGGGGTACAGTTTGTCCTATCAACAAAAAGAAGTTCTTCTGAGTAAAATACCTAAATAGTTACAATGATGGAGGAGCTCGTAGCATTATAAAAATCCAGAAATTAAACTTTTCTTTTTAGAGGAATGATGTTTCAGCACCTTGGCCACATGGATGAGCTTATTACAAATCAGTTTAATCTGACTCAAAGCTTGCAGRTTCTGTAAAAGCCTCAGATTAGCCTCTATTGTCACTCGTGGATCTTCAGACGTGCTYACAGCTGTGATTCACACGGCCGTGTTGACATTAGAGCGAGGAGCGAGGTGTCCCGTTACCTTTTCCCGTGTCCCATCACTCAGGGCCTAAAGTCTGTTAGGACATGCCCTTTCCAGCACCTCTCAGCCTCGCAACGCCTTCYACCTGCCTTCAAAAGAACCACTCTTCCTTCAAGTTTCACACTTCAAGGAACCTGCAGAAGGATGCAGCGATTTGCTTTGTTGTCGCCAACGTGAATATGGATTAAATTTCTGGGAATGTCTGCGGTCGACAATGAATCAAAGACATTTCTGGGCCGTTGGTGGAGTAAAATATCCACCATGTTTGCTGGAGAAGWTGTTGCTTTTTTTAGGTTCCGGCTTTATTAGGATAAACATTTTCAGTCTGTTTAAAATTACAATAATCAGGTTCCTCCTAAAAAATATCCACCACGTAGAATAAATTAGATGTAATTCTGCTGATGATGCAAGTTGGCACCAAATCATCATTTGCAAAATTAACAACTTTACAAAACTGAATTTTCTTATTGCTCGATTCTTTTTCTTCAAATTTCCCAAACCTGACCTTAGTTGTGACTCCTGTTCTTTAACAAGTTATAAAAAAATGTCAATAACATTTTATTATTAAACTCACTGTTCTTACATTTGCTAATTTTTTACTAAATGTTCAATTTAAATGTTATGTCTAAAATGGGTAAATCTAAATGTAAATGTAAAGATATAGTTAAATGTGTGTCATAGTTGAATGTTAAAGTTTACATTTAAGAAATTCCTTTTTTTAGGTGCTTTTTTATGACATCATCATCCTGCAACAATAGCAACTGCTAACGCTGCTAACACTGTCCTGATGCAACTCAGTAATCCAGGTAGGAAAAAAAAACATTAAGTAGGTCCTCTGGACGGGTTCTTCTTTAACGTTGCTAACCTTCTCTTCAAGACATCAAGCTTTATCATAAGCTTTGTCATTTAGCTGCAAAATTTAAGATGAACTATTTTACATTTAGATTTACATATTTAGATTTAGGATTTTACATTTAGACATGACATTTAACATTTAGACATGACATTTAACATTTAGACATGACATTTAACATTTAGTAAAAATTAGCAAAATGCAAGAACAGTGACCTAAATAAAATGTTAGTGTTAAATTTTAACTATACACTCAAAACGTGAGTCGAATAATGAAAATGTTTTCAGTGACATTTTTAAACATTTTATTTTTACACCTCCAAATCTCCGCCCATACTTCACATGTAACAGCTTCAGAAGGTTTAACTGTATTCATTACCAGTCTTCTTCTGTGTGCACTGAGGTGTAAAATGGCTCCCCACCTGACGTTTGCGGTGCAAACATTGATTGAATAAAATCGGAGAGTAGGGGGGCAGTAATCTCTTCCTCTCTCTGCGTACTCTTCAGGATGGATAAACCTCGGATTTTGCAGGAGCCCTAAGCCCTGACCACTCGCTCCCCGTGATAGGATTAAAAGCAGAAACTTTTTGTACCTGTGAAACCGTATCCCTGCCAGGTCCCGCATCACAGAAGCTTGTGAAACAGACACCTCCAGCTTCAGGGCAGCGGGCCTGCACATCCAGCCGTGCAGAGTCCACTTTTGGGGAGTTTAGTGGATGGAAGGGGAGGGGGGTCTGGTTCACCTCTGAGGATTTTACGTCAGCAAAGTACTTGTGGGTGCAGAAGGGTTTTATTGTATTAACATTTTTTAATAGCAACATTTCCCCTCGATGCTGCAGCACAGTGGGTGTGTCTGCAGGTGCATTARCCAAGTTAATCAACCTTCAGAAAGATTCACATTAGCAACAGCTGAGAATCAAACACTTGAAAACCTGAAGCTGTCATTTAAATACAGTATAACAACTGCAAAAGTTTAAACCTACTTTTTATACTTTGCTTCCAAGAATTCAGGTTGCCTTGTACTTTTTTCATCAAGTCATATAGTTTTTCTTTATTCCTCCCAACCAATCTAGTCCTTCAAACTTCCCATGACAGCGTATGATGCAATGTTAAGAGTGTTTAAAGTGGAGAAAAATGATGAAATGGCAAAGGCAATCAATCTTATAGCAGGGGTACCAGAAGCTTAAAACAAGTATCAACATCAGCAAAAAAAAAAAAAAAAAGCTGCTTGGCGGAGAAGATTTTGTTCATTTTTAATGTGCAAAACCCACATCTACTCCTCGCACAAATGCATGTTCCTTACAAATGTGGCACCATTTCAAAGCAAAATTAACAGCCTTTTCAACAGTATCGCCAAAAAGCATTGTTACAACAAAGACATCATCTACCAAACACAAATTTCCTTACTTTTTGTGCTAATTTTAGCAGCTGGCACATCTGTACTTTATGTTTTTTAAGAAACAGAAAATCTAAAAACCTGGGAGCTGCATCACCTTTCTGTCAGTCATCGACTGTGTCAGGTTTTCAGATACTTAGAAGTCATCTTGTTGGTGCTTTAAGGAATTTTCTCGTGTCACGTTATGTGATCTTTAAGAAGAATGAACAACACAATTTGGTATTTAAAAAATAATTAAAGAATTTGCATGAAGAGCTTAATGATAGTACCTTACTTAAAGATACTTAAAAACTGAACTTATTTTTGTTTGACAATCAGCTCTACCTCAGAAACTACAGGAGGAAATAATACTAAATAATACTAATCATATTAATATTAATATAGGATTTGACATGCATTAAAAAATGAGCATTTTCCTTTTTGTTGTTTTTTTGAAAAGTGTTTGACCTGAAATCTGAATGTCAGTTTTCCCTCACCTCTGCTCACAGTCAGCTGAATGAATGAAATGAGACTGGATGGAGGGCAGGTTCCCATCTTATCTCCACCATTAATCTTAATTTGTCAGCGAGGGCCGAGGTGAAGGGAAAAGAAGGAGGGAGGACAAGGGGAGGGAGGAGAAGGAGTACTAAAAGGTAATTGCACCCCTGCTGCTCCATTATGGTGTCATGCCTCTGTTAACAGAAGATAAGATAAGATCTCCCTCAAATCACCTGAAGCCAATTCTCCACTTTACTCAGCTGGGACAGAGAAGAAGACAGAGAGGTGTCCGACTCTAATCATAACGTGCAGATTTTTAAAGGCCGTTCTGTCTGCGTTTTCTTTTCAAATCTACGTCTGATGCTTCGACACACTTTTCAGGCAGAGTGACGGATGGAGAGGAGGCCGAGCACTTTCCCTGGCCCACGCCGCTCGACTCTGATGAATGTGCTCCTGATTGGCAGGTGGGACACATGTCACTGGGTGCACATGGGAAGGAATACAGTTAACCTACTGACACGACACACAGTTCAGCTAAACGCTGCCTTTTGACCTGAGCAGAGGAAGACAGTCTGTAACAGAAAAGCTCATCTGCCTCTTAAAACTGAGAGAAATAGTGTCAGTATTACATTCTAACCCAAAGTTACTTTTTTTTTCCACCAAGATTTTGAACTGATGTGAGTCAAACAGCCAATTAAAGCACATCTCAACACTTTTAAAGGGATGCCCGATTAGTTGTAACATTAGACTTTATTTGATATTTATTTTAACTAAAATAAAGACTGTAAAATACTGTAGACTGCTTAGACTTGTAAATTTTTAAAAATATATATTAACATGGATGGAGCCATTTTATTTACATGCAAAGCATTCGGGGTAAATGATGACATGGATAGGTCCTCGGTGTGAGCGAGCTATATCCACCCTGAAGGTTAATCTTGGACAATATCTGACGATTGTCTCTTTTAAATGAAACCAGAGAGCGTTGACAGAGAGGAGAAGGTAGAAATGACTCAGCCTGTAACTGAAAATATGGATGGAGGACAACAGAGCTGCTTCATGGAAGAAGAACCCCAGCTTAGCCTGTTAGCCTTTGCGCTAGCGCTGATGCTATATTGCCTTATATGTATTAGCTCGGTGCTAGTGCAACAAACTAACAAGCTAAACTGAGGTCCTCCATCCATATTTTCAGTTGCAGCTGAGTCATTTTTGTGTTCCCCTCTCTGTCATGTAGATGGAGGACCTCAGTGATGAGAGGAGAATGTGTAGCGCTGAGCTAATACATACGTATATATGGTGATAGTGTCGGGTCTAATGCTAAAGCTAACAGGCTAAGCTGTGGTTCTTCTTCCATGAAGCAGCTCTGTTGTCCTCCATCCATATTTTCAGTTACAGGCTGAGTCATTTCTACCTTCTCCTCTCTGTCAACGCTCTCTGGTTTCACTTAAAAGAGTCGATCATCAGATATTGTCCAAGATTAA